GGAGACATAAGTAAAAGCCTGACGACTCTTTCCATGGCTTGAAGCTCGATAGGGGTTGGTTGAGTGCAACTTAAGTGAGTATTGAAAAACATACACAGATGGACGAGACATTGCATCGGTGATAGAATAGATTTCTCCAGTCTGATAAGGAAGCCCACTTTTGTGGCTTATGAAAGGAGGATCTAAGAGTGTTGTTCTGCTAATTGGTGGGATGGTGCCAGAAGGAGCCAGTCATCCAAATAATGATGTGTGCACAGGCCCAAGGAATGCAGGTGATGAGAAATGACTTGAACAACTCTGAAAAAGACATAAGGTGCTGATGCAAAAACAAAAGGTAAAGCCATGAACTGCAGCATCTGACCCTTGTGCACAAAATCTGAGAAACCTTCGGCGAGATGCAGATAAGCATCAATAACACCAAACTTGGTCATCCGAAGCCCTAGTGCAAAGAGCCACCTTAAGTTGAGAAAATATTCCATTGTAAAGCGAGGAGGATATAAAAATTGGTTGAGTCGAGATAGATCAATGATTGGATGCCAACCTCCTGACTTCTTGGGTACAATGAATAAATGGGAATAAAATTCTGGAAGAATGGGTTGGACCCTCTATACTGCTCTTGTCACTAATAACTCTTTTATGGCCTAGGAATGAAGCTCCACTAGCCATGGATCTGTTGGAGGTAAAAAGGTAACAGGTTGTCAGATAATGGCAGAGGTGATGTAAATTGAATGTCAGAATATGAATTACCCATGCATCATTGGTGAAAGAACTCCAGATGTCCATAAAGGGAGGTAATCGTGCTTCCACTGCTCCCTTGCCCACGGGATAGTCACCGATGCTGTTGTCATCAGTACGCTCGATGCCGAGGATCCTCAAGAATATGGACGGACTCTATTATGGGAACCAAAAGACCTGGGAACTGAAGGAGGGGGGTTGGGGAACACTATGGGCCAACACTTCCAATTAGTGTCAAAAGGGCAAAATGCCAACAATGATAAAGAAGAACTTAAACAGGATGTAAAAATTCGTGATTCTAATGTCTCAGAAACTCAGGCAAACACCATGGGATGGAGAAAAAAGAGCTTGCAGTAGCTACCTGAGGGCAGAAGGTGGTAAACAAACACTTAATAACAAGTGTCACTACCCAATACATTCTAACAACAAACCAGCCAGGAAACCTCAAATTGCTGAAAGGAACATTGATAGGCTTCAGACAAAAGTTATATCACAGATAAATACCTCAGAACTGTCGTGAGAGCAAGAAGAATCCGAGAAAACTGTGAACTGTTTAAAGTGATCACAGGTTCCAATCTAAACCCCCACAGGTCCAAAAGGGGGTCCATCTGTTGAGAATCTAAATATACATCCTCCTGGCAGTGATAAGCCATAGTATTTTTTTCTGATAAACTTGGGGGAGAAGGTATAGCATCCCATCGTGAAACTGAGCAGCAAATCTCCCAGCATGATGAGCAATATTAAGAGAAGGAGGAAACTAAGTAAACACTTGCCATCCTTTCTGTCAACAAAGAAGGAGTAGAGTCAAATGCATTTAGGAGAGACTCCCAAAACCTAACAAACCTGAGTAACCAAATAAAGAAAAAGGGGCTGGATGTGATTGATTAAAAATGGTCCTCTGTTGAGGCCAACCTAGTAGAAGAAAGAGCTGGAAAAAACGAGTATAAAATTTCCCTAACTGGTCCCGTGTCGTTTGCAAAAGCTGCCTCAGAACCCTATGGAGAGACACCCTCGGTTCGCGTATACGTCTCCATGTCACAACGGATCATATCACAGACAGCTTCAAATGAGAGTGACCCCTTCCTTGGCCATTGACAAACATCAGATAGCAGAGATGGAAGAGAAGTGGCCTGGTAGGCCTCCATAGTAGAAACGTTAATTCAGGAATTCATACCCATCGTTAAATTTTTTGTCAATATAATTAATAAATATAAACGAAAAGATAACTGTAGAAACGTCAGCCACGTTCAAAGTTACAATGTAAACTGTGAATAATCACAACACTCCTGTTTATAGAAATCCATGTTGAATGCTTTGTCGAGAAAAAGTGATTACAGAATGAGGTGCTTATATACAGACCTAGATAGAGAGCGCATTGAAGTTGATGTATAATTTTGCAAATTAGAATTAGCAAAGGGCATTCGAGTGGGGTATAAAAGACTGGAGCAAGCATTTTCAATGCTTAGATGGGCAAAGAGTGGAAACCCTGGAGATCAAGAAATAGCTATAGTGTCAGTGGAGGTAAGTTTGCTTTGGAATAGAAATCATCATATGATACTCAACAATATGTAGAAAACCACTTACCATTAGAAGGATAATAGAAATTATCATATAATAGTCAACAATTAGTATGAAAACCACTCATCTCAGATACTAACAGAAGAGCACAGTTTCAGTTGCACTTAGAAGACAAACTGTGGACAATGAATAAGTGGAAGCTTGTTTTGTAATCCGAGTTATTTTCACCCCTTTTCTGTCCTAATAGTGGAGTGAGAGATATGAAAAACCTACAGGACATTCAAATTTATTGTGTTGACAGTGAAAACTGCTGGAAAGAGAGTAATCGTATTGCAAAATATTTTCATAAAAGGGGTTGGGTCTTTTGATCATTTTTAAAAGAAGAGTAGCATCCAAAGTGCACTAAATATTTTTGCCAGTTACATCCTTACCACAATGATGTATTTCCATCTTGATGAACAAGTCTCTTCCAACTTGATAATGCATCTATCCACCACACTTGTATTAATCAAATTTGGTTCAAAGAGCTCAACAATAACCTCATTCATCTCCTATGGCCAACATAACCATTAGATATCAATCCCAATGAAAAATTTGGAATGCATTTAAACATCTCATTAGCCACCATCATCCTCTTTCAACATCTTGAACTAGTTGTAGAGTATACTCCTCAACAAAGAAGATGTAACTGAACAAGAAGCAAAAGACACCTGCCATTTTGTGGAATCTATGTCGTGCAAAGTCCAGGTTGATATCATTATATTAGGTGGTCCAACATAATTTCAGTGCATATTAAAATCATTACAGATGTTTTTGTGAGCTACAACTCATCACGACTCTAGCGAAAAAAGGTTAAAATATTGTCACATTACTTCTCTTCATCTATCTCCTTTATAAGAATCTCATTGCCTCATTCACATAGGAACCTGCAAACTTATCATTATTCCATCATCATACTTATAGATCTCTCACCTTTCACTAATACCAGTCAAACAAAAGTAAATTAATCTAGAAACATACACATCATTTCAAGTTAAAACAAACAAATTTATATATTCATACACTTACTCACAAGCTTTACTAACTATCTGGCTGTTACTACCTTACCCCACTCTACTAAATTACTGAGATGTTATTTCAAAATGTTAATGACTTTTTATGCATACAGAAAATTCCATGATTACTAGAATTCCCTAGAGTTGTCTTGTAGGTTTCTTTTCTACTGAGTAAGGCTATGAGATTAACAAATGTCTATTTTCATTGCATGACACAAGTTAAGTAAAGCAAAAATAAAGACAGGCAGTGGAAAAAACACTGTATAAGAAGAGCACCATAGTGAACAAGCCATGTCTGCCCATTACCATATTACATGAGGCACAACAGCAGTAACGTTAGTAATTGATAGAAAGGACATTCTTTCATGTGATAAATCTAATGCACATGTACAACTGCTAATTGCAATGAAATTTCATATTACTGAATATACATATTTTAAGTGTTATGTTTAAAAGTGTTTATACACTATATTAATATTTTATCAAATATAATCTGATTGACCAAGAATGTATGTATATATCAGTTTTTGTATCATACCTGTCAGAGACTAAGAAATTCGTGACAGTAACACACAGGATTAAAAAAGGTTGACAAATAACATACAAAAACAAATTAAAAAACACAAGTGCTTTTCACAGATGGATCTATCTTTACAAAGAGCAAAGGCAGAATAATGCAAAATTACCAAATGTTGAACAAAACAAATACTATCAAAATCTGAGATAAATACAGATGAAAACTAACTTGTTTAAAACAGCAAGTATCAGTAAAACTACAGATTCACACAGTACTCATTTTCAGAATGATAATCAAACAGCCTTGATAGTGAACTTATGACAACCAGCCTTGAAAGAAGGATATATAATAAAATGCAAAATTCTTGTATAGGAATTACAATTTGACATTAAAATAAGAATGCTGATACTGTTTCTTTTTAAAGCTTAATTTTTTAGATTCTACTTGCTTCTATTTCATTATGAGACCATAAAAAAAAGAAGAAAAGTGTCATAATTATTATCAAGTTAACTACAATTAATGTCTAATGCTTGATACAACTCTGTAACAAAATTGCAGTTCATTAAGTCTGCAACTGGTAACAATTAGAATATTTATAAACAAAAAATTTTCTAGACTTTATCTACGCAATTCTAAGCAAAGATAACTAAAAGTTTACAAACACTGAGAATTATTCAGTCCAAAAGATAGTGTATAAAAACTTCTGAGCTTTTCTATATTTACTCTGTAAGCTGATGTTTCCTAAAACTCACAGAGAGGAGCTTAAAAGTAATATTATTTTTCAATAAGATTATATTTTATTTTTCTCCTGCATATAAAGAAATAGCTACACTTACTTCTTGAGTAGCCTGGAGGTAAACTACATACATAAGTCTAAACAATTTTGAAAACAAATTGGTTGATATTTATTAAATGTTTTCATATAAAGAACTCCATATGAGTATTTAAATCATTTATTCGATCATGTCATACTTGGTCTTGTTTTGCAAGTAAGATTCACAAAGTTGTTTCAGAATTTTAGACACAATATTAGTAAGTTACTCTTCAACACTACAATGTTGTGTTAACTCAGGGTAAACAAAATCTCTTTAAAAGGATGTAGGATGCTCTAACATGATTTTATTACAAAAATGTCCTATTAACATTATGTTTTCAAATACCTATACAGTAGTTACCTTTAAAAGTGTATACGTTGCTCTATCAAGACTTCTCTGTATGAGATTTTTCATGTTTCGAATAGTCTGTAAACAAGGTAGCTATATCAATATTACCAGTGAAAAGTAAATTGTTATTAATACTTAAGATAAATATAGATTAAGAAGAAAGCATAAAAATATAAATATACATGCACAAATCATTACTTAAGCTACTATAACTCAAACCATAATTGTCATGTGAAAAATACAAGTTCCCTAAATAATTTGTAATGATGTATATCACTTACTTTCACATGCAAAATTTTATCTTATGCACTATTACCTTTACTCAGAATTTTACTCAGCATATGCATCATGTGATTTATCATTTTACACATCAACAGGAACAACTAGAAAGTAACATCCTAATTAATCTTCTTAGAATTCTCATAAATGTACTTTCAAAATAAATAACTTAGCAATAACTACTTGAATGTCAGTCAACATGTCAAGTTAAATGTAATAAAATAATTTACTAAACAATCTATTAGCTGTTTCTAAAATAACTAATCTGACTTTAACTATCTCCTACACATATGGCCCATTAACTGAGCAGGTAGCTAGAAGTAATAAATAATTCAAGCCCTAAGAATTAGCCAAAATGTATAAGTAGTAATAAGATAAGAGAGAAATTACAGTAATTATAATACTTAAACAAAGAACTAAGAATACTGACAAATATGGCAATTAAAATAATAAACAGAAACTAATATAACTGAACTATATAAAAACTGTTAAACAGCTTACATTAAATATAGTGAGAGGTTAAACCAATGGGAGGTAAAAACTAATGGTGGTTACCATACCAAAGCTGTTCATTACCTATTTAAGTTAATTAGAGAATTAGTGTACTTTGAGAAAGGTTATTATATTCTGTAACATTATTAATCCTGTAATTGGTAGCAAGAAGGCTGTTAATTTGCCACAAAATTAAATAAATCTGGTAGGAGAAATTCGATTTTGAAAAATGAGTGTATCTTTATGGACTCTATGAAATTTTGTGACTGAATCAGGTAAGCTATGTGTAGTAAACATTGTAGAATAATATATTTGGAATATTTCTATTTGGGAATGCAAATCTTTATAATTTCAGAATTAAAAGTATCTGTTTTACTTAAAATTTTTAACTCAATCAAACAGTTAACAATGCTTTCACCTAAATCCAGTTATTTATGCTTTATTTGTAGTGAAAGAGCTAATTTCCAAAGTAAGTCTGGTGGATAAAATGGTTTGTCAGTGTCAAGAAAACAAGACAACTTGATCAAAGAATATCATCAATGTGAAAGACTTTGTTATAGTTTTTCTCATGAAGATTTGTTATGAATTAAAATTTCACAAAAATCAACAACTTGTGGGTTTAAGATATCACCCATAGATACTTCCTGTATTTGCTGAGACATACTGGCCAAATTTTACAAATGCATTTAGTAAAAAATATAAGGCTTGTAAGAGTTTGTTTATTGTGAAAAAAGATTACAATTTATACACTTTGTTGGATTTCATGAAATTTTGTGTTGTATGATAGAAGTCAAGAATTAACAATGTTTAGATGGAAATCACACAATCACATTGACATAAAAAACTAAATAATTTTTTCATCTCAGTTAGCATTCCTTAATATAAGTCAACAATATGTTAAATGTTTATATCTCCAATTATGTTAAATGTTACAGATATCATCTGACAATATGCAATGTGTACACATACCAAATCTAAAATAATATATTTAAATCTCCTTATATTAAAATATAATTATATAACATAACTCAAAAATAAATTTCAAGAACAATATATATAAAACAAAACTTAAGATACCTCATTCCATTCTGTCTCAATTTTGATATCAATGAAAGGACACTCAAGAAATGCATTTTCCACCTCATTAATTAGCTGGAATAATCAAGCAGCACAAAAATAAATTAGTCTTTTAAAACCACAGATATTATTTAAAAAACTAAAACAAAGAAACAAATTCCAAATTTTACAGGTTCACAAAAGAATAAAAATTAGCTAATGTTAAAAATATTTTTTTCTCTAAAACTTAAGTTTTAAGTTTCAGTTTCAACAATTAATCATGTTATTTGTAAATGTCAGGTTACAAGCCAAACAGAAAATTACAAATAAATGCATTAACCAAAGTGATTTTTGTATGAAGATTATAATACACAAAAATGTCAAATTACACTTCATTGTTTTCTTCCTTCTTCTTCACGGCATTAAGCACATATTTTATCTATAAGTATTTGAAATTTGTGAGAAAAATAAGTTCTCATTCTTTAAGTTTATAATGTTATAAACAAAAATGGGTTATCACCCAGTATAAAAATAAGTTTTTATATACCTAAAGCTCTGGTATTAATAAATTACTAACTTTTTAGAAAAAAAGTAACCCAAACAGAAGAAGCAGGAAGTTATCTACACATTATAATTTTAAACATTACATAAATTAATTTAAAATAAACCAAAATATTAAGAATATGCTTGAATTCATTTCTTTGTAACTAATTTCAAGCATATTTTAATCACACAATGTACTGTAAACTAACATAGTACATTAAGTTTAAAATAACTCTGTTACTTTTATGATGACCTTTAACAGATAGATACACCAATGGTTAAAAAAAGATACCTTGTGTGCTTACAGAAAGACACATGAAAAATAAATGCAGTACATATTTAAAGATACCACTGTAATGTATGTTCATGATATCAGAGAAACAAGTAGGTTCAATAAGTCTTGATACAAAATGATAAAAACCCTATTACTCAAGCGCTTTTGAAAGGTGAACCTTTCTTCTTCAGTTTGCCCCAAAAGAAAAATGGTCCATACTGTAATTTATGTAGTGTAATTGCACAAAATTTAAAAGCCTTTTGAAAATTTGCTAAGTATATAACTTCAGATAAGGTATTGTTTATTCTTCCACTTCTCTTGCAGAAACTATTTTAGCATTCTGTGATTCAAAGAAATTGAAGTAAACCATTTGAAAAAGCCAAGCATTTTAATTTTCCATCTAATAAAAACATCTGGGTTTAAAAATCCATTTATAAAAGAACTTGTTAGTGGCCAAACAACTTGGGTAAAATCTGCTTTTTCATTATAAGGAAAATTTTCTATAATTTTCTCCATTTAATCATATACTTTCTTGCCTGTAAAAATTGTATCTTCAGTTTGTTTATTAGTAAAAATTAATCATTTTTACATCTCCTCCTTAGAAAAGTTGAAGATTTAAATTAATTTAGCCAAAAACCAAACTCTGAGATTTAATTTTTATAAAAATTGGTATTAACTGGAAAAAATCCAAATGAAATTTCTAGAGGACAACCAATCCAATTTTTTCCTGTTTTCCCTTCCACTTTTACTTCCCTCTCAAGACTAATAATATAAATAATAAATTATGTATTTCTAAACAGTATGAATAAGAATATTTATGCAGTGTCCAAGGTGTTTATTAAGCTTGAAATAATCCTGGTTGGGTTTGTTAAAAACATATACATATATAAAGTAAATGTGAAATCAAATCAAAACAGAATAAATTAATAAACTCTAAAATAAATCCAAGAGACATAAAAATTTAAAGAACAAACAATGAATAAAAAATCCTTAGCATTTAGCAGAATGACTACCTTAAAAAATAATGTAGCAAGCAAGCTAAAGACCACCAAAAAGTGTTATGAAAATTGAATAGTCACTCAGTCATGTGATTGTCATGGAACCAAAAACAGTAAATCATGGTTAGTTAGCAAAATAGAAGATATGTTCAATTTATGAATGGTAGCTCAGAAACTCTGTAGTTAGGAAAGTTGTAATAAAAGCTTGTCCTATAAATTTACAAAATATATGAACAAGTTTTATTTGAAAACATTGTGACAAAATGAGAAATTTCAACACCTGAGTCATGACTGAGTTTATATATAAGCAGGGTGTTTTATGATACTGAGTTCCAGTGTACAAACATAAAAATAGAATATTACAGAATCGTGTAAAGACAATCAAGTAAACGGCAATGAAAGTCTATGCTTATCTCACACATGTAGGAAGTGGAAGTGGACTTCTGTCTACTGATTCTCCATCTTTTGCTTTTCCTAGCCACACCATATGATACTTTGCTTTCCAACAGTCTCATTCCCTCTGGATGTCAATAAAGACTTTTCACAGTTGCTGCTTCCATCCAATTAGTGCAGAGAAGGTCGAAATCTTGCTATCAGAGTTGTTTTTCCCTTGATAAAGAGGCTTGATACATGATGATTTTGCCAGGCAGTTGCTTTGCTTTCTGCCATCTATCTGAATCAAAAGCTCAGAATTTTATACAGTACTGCCTGCGAGTCAGCTGCAAACATTATTTGGTGACAATGTCTATTTGCATTTTGCTGCTTTCACCACTCCAGAAGAGAGCTACCTTTATGACATGCAGTTCCATTCTTGTGCTGCTTGTGAGAAGCTAGAATACTCCACCAACATTATGTAGAATGTTGTTGCTCTATGAGATGATGAATGCTCAACCAGCTCTCTTACTATCCTTGGTGAAGGGACCATCTGTGGCTATGATGACAGATCACTGTCCACTATGGTCTTTAAATAGGTGCTGATAGGCTTTTTCTGTTTCACCCTCTGACCAAATACTATATTTTTTGTATAGGCTGATTTCCATATATCCCAGTGGTGCTGTATAACACCTGTACACCCATGACTATAAAATAGGCATCAATGTAACATTTTTAAATTAGTTGAAGTTGCACTAATTACCATAAGATGCATCATGAAGTATAGAAGGTGGCAATCAGACTAGATTACCATCAACACTGGTCTGCTTCAAAGATTACCACACTCACCAGTTATTTTCAACATCTACACCATGGACTTGGCTTGCCTTGACATTTCAATCAGATTCCATGTGATGACAACATTTGATGTGCAGCTGTACTTTTAGCAAGGTGAGCAAATGGTGCATTTACATAGATTAGGTCATTAGTCCTTCCAAAGCCACAAGTCAGACATTACCACCTTTGTGGACACTGCTCTTGCCCTAGAAGAAACAATGAAGTACCTGGAGGGTAGCCTTTGACAGACAACTCAACTTCACCAGCCATTTTAACACTGTGATAACCAGAACTAACAGGCATCAGTGCACTGAAAGTTGAAACAGGAAATAGAGTTGAATAATGTAACCTTCGTATACTTTACCAAAGTATCATCTGCTCTATCTTGGATTATGCATTACTGATGATCATTATGAGTGCTACAGATATATAAGATTAAGAAGAAACAAAACAACTTTTAAGACTTGTCAGGGTGTACTTCAATCATCTCTATCCAAGCCCTATCACACCTCACATGCTCCAACAGCATTACAGAATACCAACAGTACTTAAAAAGTAAAATTCTTCTCTTTAGCCTTGTAATATAAAGATCATGGATTCCATGATCGAGTTACTGCCCTTTTCATTTCGGACATTCTTGGCCCACAATGATCCTGCAGACACCAACCAAGCAGGAGATTGTCTAAAAGGTGCTTCAGGAGGATCATTTTGGACTCCACTGTAGGCATCTTCCAGGTCTAGAGCTACTATCAAGGTGTTTTGATCAACTTCAAAGCCTTCCAATGTATCAGCTGCAACTTCAGTAGCATTGATCCAGGTTTATCTTCTACTGCAATAACCAAATTAGTGATTAAACCTGATAGGAAGCCTTCTCTAGGATCTTGCAAATGAACTTTTGTAGGATGATTTGACAGCCTTTTGGTAAGAAGTATATTACTGTGATATAGAAAATTTTACCTAGTGAGAAATATTCTAAATTTTTGTAGCATTTTGCTTTACTTTTTTCAAATTATTTGGTGTTGCATACTTATCTATTTGTTTCCCTTTTTTAATAATATTTTCTGTTAATAATAATAATTTCAGAACTTCTATCTACTTACCTATTGTCTTTAAAGTTTCCATTTTCAGTCTTTTTTTACATTTATGTTTTTATCATGCTTAGATTTAAGTTATAACATTCAATTTCTGATATTTAATAAAAAACATGTAACAATGAAAATAGTTTTTTTTTTTATAAAAACAATATTTACAAGGATAATGTTGTACACATGTCATTTTCTAACATAACATCATATTGGCCAGAGACTGTCCCTTTAAATGAAGTGAAAAAACATAAGAAAAACAAATTACCGAAAGGCATACACGACATTCTTGTAACACATCATCTACATTATAGTGACTGAGGTCTTCATTCATCTCCGATATATAAGAATTTATTTCAGGAAGGATCAATGGGTCTGGTCTTCCATCTACTTCATTTATATACTGCTGCCACTATCAGATAGCAAAATATTTACACACACATCTCTTACAAAAACCATTATTTTTTCTTCCTTGTAGTGATAAAAAATAACTTGTTAACTTCTTAATCACAAGGCTAATACACAATTACACACGATTCTACATTTTACTCCATTTTTTAACAGACCAAGTTCAACATGAATTACACATCAAAATATAAAAAAAATAATTATGTAAATTTCTTATATTTATATTACTAGTTACATAGTTAATTCTAGCCTTGCCTTTCTTGGCAGAAATCAAAATATGTAGCCATGAGTCATTAGATGCAAGCAAAAAGTTATTTCAAATGAACAAAGAATTTCATGAACCTACTTTTATGGTATTCTTAACTTAATGAAATTTTCTAAGATAAATCATTCACTCTCACGGCCAGGTGGTTAAGGCACTCGACTCGCAATCTGAGGGTCGCGGGTTCGAATCCCCGTCACACCAAACATGCTCGTCCTTTCAGCCGTGGGGGCGTTATAATGTGACGGTCAAGCCCACTATTCATTGGTAAAAGAGTAGCCCAAGAGTTGGCGGTGGGTGGTGATGACTAGCTGCCTTCCCTCTAGTCTTACACTGCTAAATTAGGGACGGCTAGCGCAGATAGCCCTCGTGTAGCTTTGCGCGAAATTCAAAAAAACAAACAAACAAACACTCTCACAAAGTAAAACATTTGATTGGAAATTATATATCACTTGAACACAGAGTAATCATAAGAATAAATTAGAAAGTTTTATTTTAAATTTTTTTAAACTAAGTGTTTCTACTTTCTTAGGCTTTGTTTCCAAATACAAAACACGTAGTTTATCGTTCCTTAGCTTACTATGGCTCTAATGAACAATTTAAAACCCATCCAACATTGCCGAAAAAGAATTAGCTTCATTAATATATGTTACTTTTTTAGTTTTGGTTTGTATAATTTGCTTAACTTTCATCAGCAGTCATTAATATTTTAATTAATAATTTGTGAATTTCTTTAATAATAATACATGTTTATAATTTATTGATCACCTAATTATTTTGTTTTATATATACAAAATGATTACACATCAAGCCATATACACACCTGAAAACACACACACACACACATACATACATACACACATTTAAAACACAAAATAATTAGAGGAAAACTAGAATTTATAATGTTATAGCTGTGACAAAGCAAAACCAGTTATAAAATAATGTCAAGCCTTCCCTAAGTTCATAAATCAATGTTACACAAATCATACATTTGATGATCAGTTTCACCTTGTCATACATTTGGCTAGAATATTACAATTTCTAATTATATTTTAACTGTTTCATGCAGGGTATATACAAGAGATATAAGCTACAATGCACTTACTTACTCTTTTTTTTCCCACAACTCTTCTCTATGATTCCTTATTAGTTTCCAATGCTTTTCTAAAATGACTTTTGTTTCTTCAATATGAAAATCTCTAACCTTTTTCTCCTGGAGAAAAAAAAAGCAGTACTAATTAATTTCACATTTATTTGTATTTTGTTGCACTTATGTTTCACTGAACAACATATTAGTTTCATTTACATGTTGATTAAGGTGGTTTTTTTTATAAAAAAAACCTTACTGACAAAGTATCAGAGACAAAAACATAATTTCTCCTGGAGTCAACTTGTATACCATCTTTTGAAAACATCTTTCTCCTGTATGCATTGCAATTCATGAAAAAAATCCTTGAATTGTTGCTTTCTTTAATAATAAATATTTTAATTTCAAAGCCTTCATTACAATATAACACAGCTTCATCTATTGTATTTCTGCATGTCTTGACACTGATGTATACTCTTAATGTGACTGGAGACCAAATACCCCAAACCTAATACTCATATAACACATCTTCCTATGCTACAAAAGAAACATCCATCAATTCATTTAAGTGAGGTATTGGCCTTTCCAGTAACACACCCTAAACACACAGCCTATTATCAAACCTCTGAAGGAGAGACTCCTTACTTGTTGATGATAATGATATTAGAACAGACAGGCCCAATGTAATATCTTGGGTAAGATGACTTTAGAGGGCATAAGAGATGAGTGTGGCCAGAGCACTAATTAAAGGTGAAGTTTTCTGAGCTCACAAGACAGGTTAGCAGGGTATTCCTGTAGAAATAACTATAAAAGCAACCAAAATCCTGAGAGAAACCTTGAATGTACAGGATGGTTATTCAGTATGAAAGTTTCTTTTGCATGGTTTGCTTTTTTTATGTATACATTTGAAAGCTTCCCAATATCCACTTTGTTTTAAAATATTAGTAACAGATTATTTAGTCCAAAGCAAAGTTTAGTAGCTTTGTTAAACAGTTTTGACAATAGATTATTAATGAAATTTAGGAGAATGCAAGGTAAAATTATATGTCAGTGTTGGTTGATTAAGGCAAACAAATAAATGTACAGACAGTATTATCACTGAAGGAGAGTATAATTTCTCAAAATTATAATATACAGAACCAATAGTTTAACTTTTAGCTAAATTAAATATAACTGTTGAAAAAGTCAAACTGCAATGAACGTAATACTTCTTATACTGGTGAAACTCAAAATATTAAAAACCTGCTTTGATGAATACAAAAGAGTTGTCACAAAAGGAAAAGTATTTGATTCCACTCTCACTGAATATGTTTTCTTAAATGACCACATTATAAACTGGAATAATGTAAAGATATTACAGTTGGGTGAAGTTTCAAAAGATGATGAGGTGAGCAGTTACCAGAGAATTGGAAGTTACCTAATGTCACTCCTCTTTACAACGGAAGTGATAAAAATTGTCTCACTAATTATAGGACCATTAGTCTTACACCAGTTGTGGAATAAGTATTGGAAAGTCTGATAAAAGATGTTTTGCAAAGCCATTTAACAAAGTTTAGAATTTTATTGGATAGTCAACATGGTTTCACTAAGGGAAAATTTGGCCTTACAAATCTTTTGACATTCTTTGAAAAGGTGACTGCTTATATAGATGAGGGTAAGGGTGTAGATTTGGTGTATTTGGATTTTCAGAAAATATATGACAATGTGCCACAAAAAAGGCATGTAAAAAAATTATCTCTATAGGTGTGGGGGATATGTTAGCAAATTGAATAGAAGAGCGGCTGGATGGAAGAAAGCAGAGTGCTATTACATACAGAGTTTAGTCACACTGGATTAATGTGACAGGGCTCAGTCTTAGGACCTTTGCTCTTTTTGATTTACATCAATAACATAGATGAAGGAATGATCAACAAATCACTTCAATTTGCAGATGGTATTAAAGTCTTGGGTGTTGTTAGTTGTGAAGAGGATGCTGCTGATTTACAAAAGGATTTAGTTCATTTAGTGAGTTGGGCTAACAAATAGCAAATGGGTTTTAATTATAATAAATACAAGATAATGCATGTGGGTTATCAAAAGGCCAGTTTTTTTTGTTTTTTTTTACGAAAATTTTCAAATGAAGCTAGGGGTTAGAGGAGGGAAAAAATAAATAAAATAAAATTGTGCCATCAGTTACTAGCATGCATGTAATTTAGGTGTCTTGAACTCCCTGACTGCAACATTCTCACCTTTATTCAGTGTTCAGCATATCAAGTCCCCAACAGTTTCATCCAAGTTAATTTTTTATAAGTTTTTCCTTACAATTATTGAAATCCATACTGTCATTTTGTACACAACTCGCAAGATGTACTACTGTTTTATCTGCTCCATGCAGTGTAAAATACCATAAGTGATTGTTTTTTTATTTTCGAAATAGCATTGTAAAAATATGCGCCTAAGACTGTGGTGCATCTTTGAACTTAAAAATAGCACAAATTTCTCAAAGTATTACGGCATATGTGTTGCAGCAATGTTCAATCATTTTACCATGCTGCTTTCAATTTTTTTTCTCAAAATTCTGCCTGGGAAATTTAAAAAAGGGAAATCAAATTATTATTTTTTCTCGGAAACATGAAATCCCGAATCAGAAATAAAAAAAAGACGGAAATGCAAATTATATATTTTTTCAGAAATCAAAATTTTGAAGTCAATCAGATTGTAAAACAAAAAATAAAATAATCCTGGTCTAATTTGAATTATAAATATAATTTGAATGGGAATAACCTTAACAGTGTCATGAAAGAAAGGGATCTTGGTGTAATAGTTTATCAGTCTCTTAAGCCATCCAAGCAGTGTGCTGTTGCTAGTGGTAAGGCAAATAAGATTTTAGGTTGTATCTACAGAAATATTGAATACAAATGTAAAGAGGTTATAATGTCTTTGTATAGGTCACTGGTTAGGCCACATTTGGAGTATTTTGTCAGTCTTGGGCTCCTTACCTTAGGAAGGACATTGAACTGTTGGAAAGGGTTCAGAGGAGGTTAATAGAATGGTGCCTGGGATAGAGGAGTTGTCTTATGGGAAGAAGCTGAAATGTCTCAAATTGTTTTTTCTTGAAAAAAAGAAGAGTTAGGGGGAATCTGATTGAGGTATTTAAGATTGTAAAGGGAATTGACAATGTTGATGCATCATATTTTTTTATATTTAATGGTGAGAATAGTAGGACTAGTGGCCAAAAATATAAATTTTGGCAAAGTAGGATAATTTTCAGCTAAGACAGTTTTATTTCTAATGGGATGGTTGGCCTCTGAGATGGGTTGCCTTCGGATGTTGTGGAGGTTGTAAATTTAAGTAAGTTTAAGAGAAAGCTTGATAAATAAATGAATGAATAATAGGGACTGGCTTTAAGATTTAAAAAAAAAATATATTTATTAATAGTTTTTGGAACAGCAGTGATGGACCAATAGATCCCATGTTGCCCCAAAACATTATGTTATGTTAAACAACCTTACAATCATTTTTCTGTGTAAAATCCTACATGTTAGCCTTTGAAATATATGTTTCTTGGTGCTTTTTGAAAAAAGTTAATTAATCCATGTGGGCAAAAAAACTCTGAGGGACATGAAAAAAAATTAACTGATTTACTACTATCATTACCTGCATAAAGACATAGCAATTAATGCTTGGAATTATCTGTTTTTATAATTGATGGTTGGCAGTAAACATTTTGGTATATTTAGAGGTATGTATTTTTAAATCACAAAAGAGTGTTAAGCATGGGATCACACTAAACTTGCTGGAAACTGAAACCAAAAATGTCACACAAGCAGGAATATTCAACAACAACATCTCCTAAACATTATGATTTGTTTATAATAGAGTTGGTCACTTCTGTTAACTTCCAAAGATAGCCTGTTTAATGTTTGAAAAACTAACAGATTAAAATAAAAAATAACTTGAGAAGTATAACAAATACTAATTTACAAAACAATATAAACATACAACCCTTACTTCAGCTCTTCTCTTTTCAGTCCTCTCCCTTTCAGCTTTTTCTTCATTTCTACGTATTCTCTCCTCTTCCTCTAATTTCTTACGAGCTAGTTCTTGTATAACAAAATGTTATATTCTCTGTACTCTGTGCAACTTATAACTTGTAGAAAGAATTTCTGTTTCTTTCTTTAGTGAAAACAAAACTAAGAATTTAACTTTGCAACAACAAAATGACATATACAACTGTTTCAATTCAAGGAAGCTAATGACACACAAGTTAAGTTAACTAAGATATCTTTAAGGACTAAATTTTAAAAGTCCAGTACCAAGATATAAAATACAAAGAAGACTGTAATATTAACTTGTGCCAGTATGAAAATGTTTCAATACCTGAATTATTATGAGCAGTGGGCCAAAGCTGGATAACCAGGTTTATTAGACATTAGTATTATGTACAACTAAAATCTGATTTGTAAATACAGTGCTGTACTTTATTTTTATGCAAATCGTTTTAATTTTGAAGTACACTAAGATTGATAAATACTGGCAAGTGTTTTTGTTAAAAACAGCCAAGTAGCTATGGCTGAGTATTAACAACTGATGACATGCTTTGATAAATAATGATTTGTGAGATGTCAGTTATTCTACTTTACACTGTAAGCACAAATTAATTTTGGTACTACGGGGTTGAGTACATTATATTACAACAGTATGGAATATATGAATCAGTAAGCCATGTGACAACTATGGTCAATATTAAGTTGCAGTGGAAATGAATGTATCAGAACCACATCTTGACATTGTTGGCATTTCATAGATAGTGTGATGCTACCAAAAACTGATCACTTTTTGGAATAGTATATAACAGCTCTTTTCAATACAAAATATTCATACACTCAGATCATAAAGACATAATCTGATTGGGTATTTAAAATTTCCAAGACAAGGATATCCCTTTTAGTTAACAGCATTGGAAAATAAAGGAATATGAATCAACTTGAGGTACCAGGGCTATTCAGAAAGAAATCTGTAGCAAGTCATACTACACCTGTGGTAAACAAAGTGCAGCATCTTGTAACAGGTGATAATTCATAAACACATAGGTCAATAGCAAAAGCCAACCATGTTTTCCAGGCAAGAATATGTATCATAATCAAGAAGGATCTCCACCTGAAAATGGGGCCAACAGAGTACGGGTTCACAAAGATAAGGCTTCCAGTCATACTTCCCATTCAACTGTCATGTACCTTAATCAGCTGGTGAATGAAATGGATATTCATGCTATTCCATACAAAGATCATAGGTAGAAAATTTTCAAAACCTTAACATGCCTGGTCATATATGTAGCACTAAGTTTTACATATCCACTGTTTGAAATTGGAAAAAACAGACTTTACTTTAAACTGTCCTGTTTTCTGCTTATGGTGATTCCAGTGACTTCTGGATCAAATGCCCTATAAACAATTAAAGAAATGTGTTTTCAAAGCTTTGGCTTATAATACTTTAGAAATTTATTTTATAGTGTCACTTTTCAATATGAGAAAAGATCTTCCAGTTGAAATGTTTCTTTCCAGTACTAACACAATTACTAATTGGTATGCCAGCTAACGTTGTAGGTTTGGATTTTCATGTTATTTTAAATCTTGATTTAGTTGCCAGATCCCTAATCAGCTCCTTTCATGGGAAATCAGTTTGAGAGATTGGCAAAAACAGGCAGTTGCTGAGCATTCTAGTTTGCTCAACAATTTTTCTTTTTTTTGCTTGAAGCTTAATGTATTTAATATACACATAAGTTTCTTTCACATTTAAACTTCACTTAAACTAGCTGAAAATGTCATCTTAGTATTATATAGATCAACAAAGAATTGCTATGTTTGCTGTTTAATAATGTCATATTCTAAAACAAATTTTGAATATTGTTACGACAGTGGAAGTAACGTGATGCTGGTAACACGTGATGAGTATCTAGAAGGTTCCTGAAGAGGCTAGTGCGTTCTAGACGCCCTCTATTCTTGTATATAAGCGTGGCAAATAAAGCAAGACAATTAATTGGAATTGGAATAGCAGATAGAGAGATTGCAGATATAGACACAGTTAATCGAGTCAAGTGAGCAGTAGTGACCGTAAGTAAAGTTCATGAATCGTTGGGAATTATATAGCATGTGTTTAAGTTAAAGTGACTGTGGAAATTATGTGTATTGCAAAGTTGCATTGAGAAAGAATAAACTAGTTTTATTTAAGAAAGGACTTGTATTGGCTGAAGTTTCTCAGAAAGAATTTCTACGGAAAATTAACAAACGAGAACAGAGACGTAACAATATGTATTGTTGTCAATATTTTGAATATTTTCACAATACATTTTAGTAAAAAATAAATAACAAAACCTAAGGTAAAAAATGTGCTGAATATATCAAATTTATTCCATAATCTCTGGATCTCATAAAGAAACTGTTTTTACTCCCCAATATACTTTTATTTTATTTAATGTTTTTAATATTTTAAGTTTGGATATGTACAAGTTTGATTTTGTTTTCTTCCCAACTAATGCACTGAATGACCATTAATTTTTTAGCTACTTTAAGCATACATGAAATTTAAAAACCATATATGACTGAATTCAGCAGATGTTTAGTCCCACTTATATCTACTTCTAGAAGAATATGTTTAAACTTGTGGTTTAAAATTATATTAATAACTTTATAAATGAAAATACCAATTATATGAATGGTTATAAAAACATTTAGAAAAAGTATGAAATGTAAACAGATATAATTTAGTTGTTTCCTGTTGCATATGTTATTAATTACCTGGAATATTAGCATTGTCAGAAGTGTTAAGTCTTAAAACAAAGGGAAAAAAAAATGGCACACTAACCTTCCTCCTGAGCTCTTCTTTCAGCTTCCTCTTTCTTTCTTCTCTCTTTTTCTGCTTTAGTAAGCTTTCCCTTTTTCTTTTTTGGTGACTAAAAATTAATAAAATAATTATTTATACCAAAATAGACATAATTCAAGTAACTTGTGCAACTGTTTTAAGTAATGAGATAAAATATAATTGGGTTTATGCCACAAAATCAAAGCACTCCACACATACATAGGTGTACATTTAAGTGCATTATCAGTATTAGAGCCTAGGATGCTGTTCTGCATTTTTCAGGATGTAATTATTCGAAATATATCAGGAACAAACTAAACTAAAAACCACCAGCTCACACTCTTTCAACTGAGTCCAAGTGGATAAGTCTCCAACACTATTTATCTCCTTCAGTTGATTTCAAGAGAAGTATAATAAATCCCCACAACCTGTGTTGATTCAATATGCTGGCTTGATTCACCACAGAAACTGTCGATATTGAATTTAAAAAGAGGAAATAAAATGTATTATTTTTGGAATAAGCCAAGAATAACAATGATACAAATTATTATCATTTTGAGTTGTTAATTTAGAAATCCTTAAACTACTTCATTAACAGCAGACAATAAATACTTTTTGCTGTATTTCAGTTAGTTACTAACTAATCTTATCTGAGAAGTTCAGCTTGTTACCCAATGTTGTCAACATTGTCACTATATAACTTGTTTTCCTTGATTTTTTCAAACCTTGTGTAACTGGTATCAAAGACAAGTTGTGTACTTCCTTTATGTAACCATCAATAATTTCTACATGTGCACAACATCCACACCATTTCATTAATTGCAGAACTGTTCAGTTAAGTTAGCATCAATAAATTATACACAGTTCAGTGTTAGATAATCTGAATGGCATTTTAAGTAAACAGAAATTGATGTTCATTAATGTGAATGCTCATATTATATAAAAATTGGGAGAGTGTAAAAATGAGCTTATATACAATCATCCGCAGGTCACCAAATCAGAAGAAGCTTAGTAATTTATAAAAATCAACATAAGAAAAAAATTTACACAACTTCATAAAAGTTGATAAAGATTAAAATAGTAATACTGCATCATACCCATGAAATTCATGTGGAATACATAGCAATAATTATTGACTGTTAAAAGGTATGGGAATTAATACTTTATAAGAAAACTTATTAAACACAAATTCTTATTATAAAATTGTGGTGATTGGTTATCAACTACTGTCACAGTTAGTAACCTCTAAGGCCACCTAAGTCTAATTATTAAATAATTACTTTTCATTTTTTATTAGATATTAATAACTAGGTTATGTCTTAAGTTTTGAATGCCAATCTGCTGTCATCTTCAAGGAAGTAATGAAAAAAAGCTATGTCTGTGTGATAGTGGTTACAATTTGATCTTGGTGGAAAGGATGGTGTGCTGTCCATTCCTCTAGGTCCTGCTTGACCCAACTCCTCAAAGGCCCACTTATGATAAATATAAAACTAATACTTTTTGTGCCTATAGGCTTTCCTGATACACAATTGCAAATTTTTTTAACTTAAAAGTTCTAGTGAGGGAAGAATGACCTAAGTAGAGCCAAATGACCTTCTTTCATTTTGCTTTTTTTCTTAAAAACTTAAGTCTACTAGTACTAGTAAAACAAAGACATTAACATCTTCCCTCTGTTGGAACAGATTCAATTCTACCAGTTGAAAATACCTATCATTCTCAGTCAAAGCATATAATGCATGCACCAAATCTACTTTCATACATTTTTTCACATACCATGATCCTTTATAAATGTTTTTTTTTTTAGCAAATCCACATCAGTCTATCTGCTGTGTCCACCAGAGGGAGTCAAACCCCAGATTTTAGAATTCTAAGTCCATAAACTAGGAGCACTTTTATAATAAAAGCAGATTCCAAGCTTGAATTCTGGGCTAACTGCAGAAGAACATGAATCAAATATTTAAAATACAAGAAACAATGTTGCAAAAGCCTATCTTTGTGTGTGTGTGAAGTAACCATGTCCTTATTACTTAAATACTGTAAAATGCAATTCTTAACAAACCTAATAATTATTTTTATAAACTGTGGAAAATGTGATGATTCTTAATGTAAGTGCACGTGTTATATTATTATCAGTTGCTTAGCCATTATCTATATGACTCAGAATCTTTCAATGAGAGGATGCAAATTTTCTGGCTTTGTAAAACTTGAATATATATGGGTATAAAATTTTCTAAAACAGTATTCTGCCAGTGAATCAGGTAGAGTTTCCAAAATTTGTTGCAGTAATTTGCAAGTTAGTAAGAAATCTTAACTCTAACCTGTTTCTAAATAAATTTCAAAATGCATAAAGAATATGTATTAAAGAGTGAGACTGAACTGCTGTCGCCTGTTTATTTATGCCGCTGGCACTGCAAAATATATTAATAATAATTAATAATAGTGTCTTCTATTAGTATACACCTTTATATGGA